TAGATCACATACACGCCACTCTGAACTGGGAAGTTCATAATTCAGCTGCAGCACATCACAATTACCTTTAACATGAATTCTTAGCACTCATTTAACCAGATACTTTTGAACCAAATACATTTTTTAAGAACAAGTAAACTATGGAAAGCATAGTTTCTTCACTGAACTAAATCATAAAATCACTGTTGGCCCCAGGTAAAACTGTATTGTGTGGCACTGAGTTAAATTATAGATTTTTTTAACAGATTTGGAAACATCAATTTACTTACATCCTATTCCCCAAGAACTGCAGGATGGTCAATAGTACCTTTATGCATCAATGTTGATTTTTGTATTTGTTTTTTATTTTTTATATGAATACCTTATTTCCATATCATATTAGTGTATAATGTACCTTATCCCACTTAGCATTCCTGGAGACTGCTTCCATGGAGGGTGTGGGCTGGTGGAGTGTCTGGAATCTGGGGCTCTATTTTCATTCTAAGGGAGTCCTGGTGTACTGAAAGACACCAGGAAACTAGGAACAGGCAGTAATGATAAGCAGGTGCGACAAGATCCTTGAGCTGACTGTCACGGAGCAAGGAGCCAGGGAGCTGAGAGATACGTCGTGTTTCACACTCTGTCTCAGTAGTGCTGGTGCCTGTTGGGCCCTGGGTTCGAATCCAGGGGCAACTTCTGCCAGGGGTGTGTAGTCAGTCTGAGAACTTGTGGGTGTTCTCAGAGCTCTGTGCTGGATAGGTCAACTGGTTTCTCTCAACTGTTTCTCTCCTGTTTTTCTGCTTACTGTGTTCTTTTGCTTTATTTACTGATATACGAGCCTCTAACTGAGCAACTGGTAACATTCTGTCAGATAGCAGATACAGCTCCCCCTATTAAAAAACAGAAATGTAATATAGCTGCCTTAACCTTGCAGCAAATGAATGATAGCAGGAACACGCTTTCTAAAACTTTGATTTATAATACGACTGTAAATCAAAATAACGAAGCCTGTCACAAGACAGAGCCAGCCGTACTGAAAAATTGGCACAGCCAACCAGCAGGAGTAAGATAAACCTGCTCAGCAACAGAATGTTGTGTAGACATCAGGTCGCCACACCTGGTTAGCTTTTCCCACTATATTCTTTAAATAGACATTTCAAAATCTCAAGTAAACATAGTCAGGACTGTAAAACTCCTATTGTCTGATCAGAAATCCAAATAGTGATAAGACCTGTTACTTGATTTATCTGCCAAAATACCCCCACCTTACCTTCTAGAAAATACACTTTGTTGACTTTCTTGCCATTTCAAGAACACATTTATTTCCGTTACAATGGAGTCCATAAGGAACATGGATTAAGTCAAGAATGTTTACCATTTACGGCAGCACAGTGGTGCCGGGGTTAGTATCGCAACCTGGCAGCTCTGAGGCCCTAGGGTCAGTTCCAGGGGTGCTGTCTGTGTGGAGTTTGCATGTCCTCCTCGAGTTTGTGTGGGTTTTTCCTCTGGGTGCTCTGGTTTCCAGTCCGAAGACATACTGGTTGGTGAATTGTCTTTTGGAAATATCAGCCCTGCTGTGGTGTGTCTGTTTGTGCCCTGCGACGGATCGGCATCCCATCCTGTGCCCACTGCTTGCTGGGATAGGCTCTGGCTCCCCCCTCGACCCTGCGTTGGATAACATGGTTAGAAAGCAGACGGCTGTTTACCGGTTGCGTCGTCGACGTGCTTTGCCCTCCTGATTTTGGCCGGCTCTTAAAGGGTTCAAACCGCAAACGCGGTTCTTGAGAGTCAGGACTTGAGTCTTCCCATCCAGGCATCATCACTGCGTCAACCAGTTGCATCAGCAGGATGGCCTCAGGCTGGCACTGCTGGCGTCGTGCAATAAGTTACAAGATCCGCTTCCGATATACTGGGAGACGCGGCTGAGCTGCATTACTAGGCTGCCCTTGGCTTGCAGCACAAGAGCACTCCCCTCACCTCCTGGTTGCCCGCGAGCTTGCTGAGCCTGCAGTGTTGTCAGTCAGCGCCGCATCATTCCAATTCATGTTGTCTACTGCAAGGAGTGCCCAGTATGCAAAACTGAAAATGCCTTTGATAAAGAGCATGTCCTGGATGGGTGATGGTGCAGCTCAGTCCCCAGTCACTCCTTCTCAGTAACAGCTCTCATGTTTCCGCTGCTGGTAGGCTCCTGCACACTCAGCTCTGATCCTCCAGTTACACTTGGTAGTATTCATTTCTGGAAGTGTTCTTATGGAAAGGAGTAGGCTGGGTTATGACATTTTGGCTGACCCACCAGAAACTTTGAGTTTTCTTCACAATGTCTGCATTCTCTTGAAAAAAAAAAACACCATCTGTCTCTAAATTGGGGTGGAGGTGATAGACAATTTAAATGTTACTCGCATTCACCATATATAAAAAATGGAATATGACTATACTTTGTGAGAAACCTTTATAATGTCATTGCATGTTGGGGGGGGGTAGGTAAATGTTTGATGCTCCCATGAAAAGCACCCCCATTCTAAAGGAGGATACCTTGAGTATTTCCTGTATAGTATAGGAGTATAGATTGGCTTTAAATGATCAGCTTGTTTGAGGCAGTTACAATGACCAAAGATCCAGGTGATTAAACAATCGTTAACTCAGATGAAACCAATTCTAGGATAAATCATTAAGTCTGCCGGCTTAAAAGATGAATATTTAACAGTGACCAGCTCGTTTCTATTGAGGCCATTAAGCCAGGCTTAATGGGAATGGCACATAGAAACGGGGTCTCAAGGTAGGATATATAAAGTCAAACAGTAAGCAGACGGAGGTGAAGGGAGTGAGCCGCGAGAGGTTCAGAACCTGCCAGTGTGGTATTTCAGATTTCGTATTTGTGGAATCCACAGGCTAGAAACATCTCTCATTGTTTAGTGGTGCGTTATTTTAAAATGGGGCAGTTGTGAAAAAATATCTCATTAAATTCTGAAAATTACGGGACAACTGAGATCACAACTGTAGGGTATCTGTGCTCTGCTCCGTTTTCACCCGCACTGGTAGAAGGCAGGGCAGCCAGTGGGCAGACTGCTGCAGTGCCAATTGGCCATTGACTTTTGCATGCTTCACACACTAACACCCACAAGGAGTGTTCACAGACCTAGAGCATGGGGCAGAACACTTTTTTTATCACTTCATTCTCTGGCAACAACTGGCCGATTGCCAGTGCTTTTATTGTATTGCACAAGCCACTATAAAAGCTCACAGGTCAGCTAGTGAAATCAGGTGCACTTTGATTCACACCCATATTTTATTGAACAAACATGCAGTTACTAAAAGGGGTAGCAGGAAAACCACAGGCGAATTAAAAGATTACGTTCCGGGTTTAACTTAGAACATGAATCCACATTACAGCACGCCCACCTCTTGACCTACCTGCAAACCCTCAGTCCTCCTGCTGCAGAAAGCCTTCCCTGTGGTTTTCTTGATCTTGGTGAGCATCACAACACAAGAAACGGTCACACTAAAGAGGAGCCTCTTGAACCCATCGATCTAAAACGTCCCTGCAGTCCCGTCTCTAGCCCTAATGAGATAGGTTAGAGCAGGGAGCTGCTGGTGGTGAGGGGACCAGTGTGTATACAGATTTTCAGGCTACCATCTGCGCTCATGACCTGAATCAGGTCATTCCTGGCTTAAGTGGACAAGTTTAACAGCTTCTCCAAGTGATTCACTAGGGAATCATGTGCAACGCTGAATATATGACATCATACCTAAGGTTTAAATACTAAACCTTTCCCGGGGGTGTCCTGCAGTCTGAAAGGGTGATATTTTATTCAAAGGGCATAAGGAGAAAATGTAACAAAATAAAATATCAATAAGCTGCCCCAAGTTGCATATGACTCCTGCACTTCAAAGGCAGATTTTATGGAAGCTCAGACAGAATAACGTCTCGATTTTTTCTTTTGTAAATGGGAAAGTGTTCCTGGTGCTCGCAATATTGAAACAGCGACAGGAGAAGAGGCTGTTCAGTTTTCATGCAGTGTTAAAAGTCAGGGCATGTTCACTCTGGTTGCAAAGCATGTCTGAATAACCTGGTTTAAAAGAGTGAGTCAGCAAAAAGTTCCAGCATCCTTGTTTGTCCCAGTTGTGTTTGGGCATTCAAACAGTCCACCAGTCCAGTCATTTTTTAGTTTGTGTGTTGTTGGAAACACGAACCAGATACATGGATAAGATCCTCAGGTCACTCAGCTACTGAAAAAACACACAGCCCCCTCTTGTTTGTCGTTTTTATAACAGTTCCTACGATTCAGGGGCCCACAATACTGTATGTTACCAGTGAAGTATGACCAGGTATACCAGCTGAAACATTCAAGAGCTTAGGACAAGATCAATCAAGACTGGCCTGTGAGTGTTAGGATGGCCCCAGGGGATGTTATAACTGGGTATTTTACACCAGGGAGGCAAAAAATGATTCCTAAAGAACTGGTCAATTTAAAACCAGATCTGAGGAAAACACAGCCAGGGAAAGTCTTAAAAGTCCTTTTGAACTCCACTGTAAATACTCCTGAAATAAGAGAACGTCAATTTGAGGGTGTAATTCCCTGTAAGCTGTGTAAATTGTGTTAAAGCAAACATTATTAGAGAGATGAAAGTAATAAATTCACACATGCAGCTATTCTCAACATTGGGGCCGTGCCACTGCTTAAGCTGCAAGGAAACAGAGGTTAATTCAATACTGAAGAAAGAAGATTGTTTGCCAAGACTGTTTTTTTTCTTTATAAACATTTATAAATTATTTTTCCCTTTCGGCATGGAACGAACCTCTGCTTATTCCGTTTTAAGTGTGGCCCTTTTGTTAAGGAACGGGATGAGGAATAGAAATGTGAGTGTTTTGTACGCTCTTCCACCAGTCCAGACCAACGAGGAGGAGGAGGAAAATAAGAGACGCAGGCGGCCAGCACAGACCTCTTCAGCCCGATTCTGAATTCTTTACTGGAACAGACAGAGCCGCAACTGCTCTTGATGTCAAAAACTGTAGCAGGGGCTGTGCTTAAAATAGTTTAATACAGGCTGTAAAAATGTAGTATGACAATACTGTTCTTGGTGAACATGATCAAGGATGAACAAATGGGATCATTAAGATACATGGTTAACATTTTAAATAATCTACGTACGACTCTATTCAAAGACAGTTCATCACACAGTATGGCTACGAGAACATATTACACTTCATGGAGAAAAAGCTTTGAGCATAGAAAAACATATCTTAAGGGTTTCCCCCACCCCCCACCCACCCAAACAACAGCTCTCAAATGCTTCACTTGAAATTGGTCAATATAGTAGAATACAAACAAGCTTACACTCTGATATGTGCTCAGTTAATGGTTTTGGATTGCTTATACGGGCTGCCTCTGTCCTGGAGTCAGCATCTAAAGACACCAGTTTCCCTTCTCACAGCCTGCATATCTTAAAGCAGGAACAGATAGTAGCTGTTTCCTGGGCTCAACACTTCTAATGAGGACTTTTTCAATCTAAGTGCATTGTGGCTTCAGAAGAGCCATTTTAGCTGTGCCCCAAAAACCCAGTATTCAAACATTGGGAGCAAAATGAATGCAAAAGCAAATTTTTTTAACACAAGAACCCTCTTAAATAACATATATATACACACACACACACGTCTTGACATCTTGAGTTTTTAACAAGATTGTAATTGCAACAGGCTACTCAAAAAACACCATGTTCTCAAAATAATCATCAAACTTAAATTAGAGTAATTTCATTAAATGCTGTAGATTACAAGGCTGTAATGAACCCACAGGAAAGCAACAGATGCCCATGAAACTTAAGGCTGGGCTTTTTCAAACTAATATTAACAGAGAAAAATAAGACTAGTCAGTAAGCTCTAAAGCACCAGCAAAAAAGTCTGGCCTTTGCATGAATTTACTTAAAGAGAACAAAAAAAAAAACTTTTTTCTTACAACTAAACGGTTTAATTTTTTTGATTCAATGTATTGCGTGGCTGAAGGCCAGAAGCACCACCTCACTGCTTGGAAACAAACTTCAGAACTGAAACGTAATGCTACTAATAAGGTTAATGGCCTACACTTCAAGTGAGCTCAAGAATGCAGTCAACCTTCAACTGGTTTAGATCTGCATAGAGAACAAGCTTGTTATTAAAATGGCACTTCTGTTACACCAAATGTTGGCAGAAACAGCACCCCTGAAATGTGAAAAATAAACAGCATGCAACATTTTATGAAGCAAAAAACAAAGCCCTGTTGTATGGAGTTCCACCATTGAGAAATGTCCCAGCTACTGACCCTGGAGTTATACCTATGGTATAGGGCAAGCTGTTGTCCCACACAGAACAGGCTGTATGGCAGCTCCTGTCACTGCAAGCCTCCACTGATGTGTCCAGGTTTTGGATGGATGTCAAACACAAGGAAAGGTGAATCACCTTGAAGACAAAAGTATCATCTCAGCTCTTTTAAAAAAAGACGGTGAAATAGATTAAGTTGATGCAGGCTGCACTCACTGCAGGTCAAGGACACGGTACTGTTTTATTTCCAAGCTGTCCACGTTTTTTTTTTTTTCCCCCAGAGTTCAGAAAAACGCAAAGTCAATAACTTAAGGTTTAGAGGGTGGCTGTCCCTAGTTTTCTCTTCGGCGCGTCCCCAGTGTGTTACTGGGTGTGGGCTGGAGCGCAGAGGCCAGCTCACTCCATGATGGCCCGGTAGACCACAGGCTCGATATAGTCACCACGGTACCTGGAGTTAATCACCCGCTGCCTCTTGGACTCTTGCTTAACCTCCTTCTCCGTGAAGATCCCATCAAAGCGCATGTCTGACGCCACCGACTACGTGAAAACAACACAAGAACAATCAGAAAACTCATCATAAACATCAGCACTGCACCTTTCTCCAAAAGCCAGCTCC